TGGTAGCTAAAGTCTTGATATGATGATAATAAAATCAGTTTTGCTTGGGGGCAAACAAAATTCAAGTGTAGGGTATTTTAATTGTGCATATTTAACTATATAATCCATACATATTTCTAATACTTTTAGCTACAATTATGATTATTTTGGAACAAAAAATACTTATTATGTTTAAAATATGTTTTGTAGCGGCAAAGACTTGTTCGGGATAAAAATGAAGCATACGAGGAGCTGGAAGTAGGAAACGAGAGCTAAAACAAAAAAAAGAAAACAAGATTGAAGATCACGTCGTAGTGATCTCCAACACGACGTGGTGAATGGAATATTCGCGACCAATCAGATGACTTGGCAGATACAAGATTAAATCGAAGACCACATCGTGGTGGTGGTAAACCACGACGTGGTGTACCGATTTTGACAATTATAAAATCCCGAAAATTAGATTGAATTGAGAGGCATGCAATCGGTTTTCTAAGGTGAACTTCGACCAACAACGTTTAGAAACCCATAAGACGATCGAGAGTCAAGTGAAGCTTAAGTATTGAATAAGATTTAGAGGAAATTTAACATTGATCTAGTTGGTTTGCTTTTCATACCTATGTCTAGCTTATTTTTACATGGATCTATTGTGTTTTTCTGCTACAATGAGAGGCTAAATACATTTTACTTCTGTTTGATGAAGATGAACTTGATCCATATGTGTTGATTTTGATTATTGGATGACTATATTCGATTTTACTTTTGTTTGATATATAAACCCTAACATGTTTAGTTCTAGTTTATATTGCTTATAAATTAGATTTTGTGTAATAATTGATCATATTAATTGCATGAATCTATCTCCTAATCGTTTATGATCATTAAATAATTAGAGCTAGGATTAATCACATCTTAGATTAAGTAATTAAAGCTAGTAACTTTAACTATGTTAGATAGCATAATTAATATTAATATGTGCTTGGTTGTTTAACTTGATCATAGAAAAGTAAATACTATCATTCATAGTCTAATTGAGCTTAATATCAATTTGGTGTTTAACTTATGCATGATCATTGCTTGTTAATTCATAAATTGGTAGGCCTAGATATTTGATCATAATAGCTAGAAAATTGGTAATCAGTATAATTTACCCATTAGAAATCAACCATAAGAGAAAGTGAAATCGGATCTAGGTAGAAGTATTCTTTTAATTCTTGAAGTTAACTTGTTTTCTTTGCTTAATTGCTAGTTGATAGTTTAAGTTCTCTTGATCTTGAAAAATCAGTAACCCCCCCCCACCCCAACCATAGTTTGTTTCTTAGTTTAATTAAAAGTAGTTAATTTATTTAACTGAATTCAATTCCTTGTGATCAACACCCGACTTACCTGAACTACACTATAATCTGACTACGTACATTGCCTATAGTGCATAGTTAGTAAGAGTTTGGTAGGTTATAAATTTAAGACTAGTAGGTACTTTTGTGCACATCATTGCCGACACCTGAAGTGTTTGGCCAAGCCCGGACTAAATTGATGTGTTTGATTAGTTGTTGTAAATCAGAAATCGAGAATGTAACATCCGGGATTTTCCAGGTATAACGATTAATTATCTTAATGAAATTATGGGATTATTTGGTTGGGCTTTGACCTTTGGGCCTTACAAGTGGGCTGAGGAAACTGTGTATGCGGGGCATACATTGCCATGTACGCCCAACGTACTCGTGAGAAGGAAGCGCGGAGGCCAAGCACGTACGCCCGGCGTACCAGGAGTACGCCCAACGTACGTGTGCAGCTCTTTAAACCCTAAAATTTATGGTTTACTCCCTATATAAAGAACATTACCCCTGTTAGTTCAGCCTCCACGAAAACCCTAGCCTACTTTTGTGTGTCTTTGTGATTTGGAAGCCATTTGAGAGTATTTTGGTGTAGTTTTGGTGCTTTGGAAGAGAAAGGAACTTGAAGAAGGAGCAAGGATCCACCAAGAGCTTCTAGATCCAGAAGATTAGCACCATTTCTGACTCATTTGAGGTGTCAAGTTCCAAACTTGGCCATTATATTCTTAGATTTGTTTATGGGGGTGTTTAAGGTTACTTTTGGACTCCATTGTTGAGGCTTCTTGCATCTTAATGATTTTAGACCATAATAGTTGTCCTTTTAGGCTCTTAGAGGCACTAAGAGTCATAAAAATCGGACCTTGGTGGTTAAGCCACAACCATGCAAGTGTTAGTGGGTTTTAAAGCTTGTTAAAAGGACCAAAATCATGTTTTGACCCCAACCATGCATGCAAGCACATAAAGTTCGTGACTTTATGGTTTAGGAGGTCTTAAGGGACCTGGATCTACATTTTGGACATAAAGACTTAATGGATTAAGTCATGAATGAAGTCCCAAGGAAGCTTGCCAGTACGCTGGGCGTACTTCCTAGTACATTGCGTGTACTGGGTCAACTCCCCGTTTTGGGTCAAGGCCAGCGTACACTGGGTATACGTGCCAAGTACCCTGCGCGTACGCATGCAGAATGGATGTTTTGGGCTTTTGGGCCTTAAGAGAATGGGCCTGGACTTTTGGGCCCCGTGGCCCACTGTGAAGTATAATTTTGGACTAGGGAATCTGGAACTAGAGTATTGGGCCTATTGGGCCATGATTGGACCCTTTTGGAATTATTATATTAGGACTTGGAACTTTTGGGCCCATTTAGGGGATAAGGCCCAATTCAGAATTTGGGCAATTAGTGGGCCCTTAGAGAGTATTTGATGGGCCATAGGAGGGCTGGGCTTAATAAACTAAAATTGGGACTTATGAATGTTCCAATTGGACCAAGGGGTAAAATGGTCATTTTACGCTAAATAATGTTATAGACTTTGATTGAGTGTTAATGTGGTTATGATAGCCGGGATTTATCAGAGCAACTGTTAGAGACTACTTTCCGCGAGATTCGACACTCAGTTTTACGAGGTGAGTTACCTTCCAGTAGAGGTGGGTCTACGACCACAATGCCGACCCACCAGCAGGGAATGTCTTTAGATGATTGTCTTTGTGATAATTGTCTAGGTTTGCTACTACCTGATGTGTTCTATGTGCTAGTGTGATATGTTATATGCGATAGTGGTAGTAGGAGGGGAATAGTCCCCCGATTCGGTCGTTAGGATCGAAGGGTAAGTCGGACACCCCAGATATGTCTGACATCATGATTACGATATGATATTATGTGATAGTGGTAGGGGTGAAACAGTCCATGTGGCCGGTTGAGATAGACCGTAGGGCAGGCATGCACCCCAGAACGGCCCGACATGGGTAGGTCGGGCACCCCAGAATTGCCCGACAATATGTATGATTGTATGGTATGTGGTATGATGTGGGAACTCACTAAGCCTTGTGCTTACGGTTTTTAGTTTTGGTTTCAGGTACCTCTTCTTCTAAGGGGAAGGAGCCGGCAGGGTAGCAGCGCATCGCACACACATGATTCCGCATTTGAGATTTCTGGGATTGTACTCTGACATTATTACTATTTGACGATATGGTTTTTTGAGAAATGTAACTATGGTTCATGAATTAATATGATATCAGTATGCTTTCCTCAAACAAATTTTATAAGCAATATAATTAAAACAAAAATTTTTTGTCTTGATTTTTGGGATGTTACAGAGAAACAGAATTCTGGATCATGAGATAGATTCTAATCGATTTCTCATGTCCGCACATTATCTTGTAGAATGAAGGGATAACTGATCACATATCTTAGGACCAACGTCTAATCAGAGTTTGGAAGTGTCTTTTGGAAAACACTATTTACTGGTTATTCGGAGTTGTACTTGTAATCTTAGTTTGCGACTTATCCAAGTGGGAGACTGTTGGATTAAGCTGTCTAAGGTCCTAATTAAATTGGTATAATGTTGATGAATAAAAGTAAGGTCATTTTTAGGTTGCCCTCTTAACCAGGAAATGAATTGAATTGATTAAAGGAGAGAGATAAATGATTTATTAATATATTATATGATTAATATATTAATTAGAAATAGTAATAATTAATTAAGAATTAATCAAAATTAATTTGGAATTAATTATGGGTTAATTAGAATTAATTAAAGGTACAAGGGCTGAGCTGCAATTGTTCATTAGTTGAACAAAAGAGAGGACCTAGAATCCTTTTATGTATGGATGGTTTTAAGAGGCTCTTGATAGAACTTCTGGAAGCCTACAACTGATAAAAAGAAACTAGATAATTACTGATTTGAAATATTATTAATTTAAGTACAAATCTATGGTTTTTGGGATTATCAGGCAGCTATATAAAGGGGCATACCCCTTGTGATTTTCGGCGTAACCTTAACTATAAAGATAATTCAAAAAATCCTCTATTCTCTCCTCTCTCTCCTTCAATCCTTGGGTTTCCTGAGTTTTAGGTGTGAACCATTAGAGACGGCCATACTTTTGGAGCTAGTTTCAATGAGACTACAAAGGGTATTTGATTAGCTTGTTTTGAATCAAGCAATAGGTGTGTGGTTCTATTCATGAATTTGATTCATATGGTTTATAGTTTTGTTTCATAAATATGTTACTACTAATTTGGAGAAGACATAGATCTATTAAGTTGCATGTACCCTTATGGGTTAAAGTGAAATTCTACATGTATAAATTGATTGTTTCCTAAAAACCCCAATACCATGGTCATCATCACTACTGATATTATCTTTAAATTGTTTCTCTTTATAGCATCCATGTAAGTTCATTTAAAAAGTTGTGATGTTATTCGTGAGTCCACGTTAGATGCTAGTTGATATCCACATAAGTAAAAGTTTTTAAAAGAATAAATTGATAGTTAGTTATAAGTAAATGTTGTTATAATGTTTCTTATATAGCCCTCAATAAAAAGTTTCAACTTCATGGGCCGAATTCAAATCTAATAGCGGAGCCGCGAAAATGACGAACTTATTTTAGTGGGCTTTACTTATTGGATCCATATGAACCGGGTCAGAACTCTGAACCCATCGAGAGTCGGATTTTAAGTTATAGTGTTGTTCAAGAAATCGCTTCTTCAAATACTCTGATTTGAGTTTTCTCTCTGCTGAATCAACGTATTAACAATCTGGTCTATTCTTTCCGATTTAAAGGTATGATCTCGACTTAGTTCTTCGACTCTATTTGCTCTTCAATTTAGCCAGGCAGATTGCTGTATGCATTTTCTTTGATCTCACTCAGAATCAGGTCTTCATAATCTAGGGTTTGTTACGAGTTGTACATTTTGTTGTTAAAAAAAAATCACTCCTTCAAACCTGATATCATGGATGTAGCAACGCAATTGGTCGGGTTTGAGTGACGGATTCGTTAACCCATTAGAAAAATCGAAGGAATCTGGAGCAGCGGGAGAAGATGTTGAGGAAGATGTACGCAGATCAGTCCATCTTCTACACAATAGGAAACGTATTTTCCTTAGGGTTGTTTAGATGTTGTTCAGCCAAAAAAAGATCAAGGGGAGGGGGTTTAGGTAAAAGGGTTGAATGGGATAAAGAAGGTAAACAGAAACGTGAGGGAGCGTTTGAATTGATAACGACTCTCACTTATCCCATTAAGCCATGGTTAAGCATTTAGTATAAAAGAAAACGACCTTAGATATCTGTACCCCATAAGTCTTTCATCCATTTAGCCTATTAAATAAAAAACAAACAACACCTTAGTCTCTACAGATATCATTTATCAATTCAGCACTTTATCCATACAGTTGAGGAGAGCATGAAATTTGTATATACTGCAAATCATGTAGCTTCCAGATTGTGAACTTAAAACCTTACTGATGAATTTTGATGTTTTTAGGTGGAAATCATGAAGCTTGACTTTAGTGGACTAGAATCAAGTGCACCACTCTACGGAGGAAGTGATGACATGCTTTCTGATGGGTTCTCAGATGCCCCTTCATTTGACCTTCCAGTTACATCAGATGTGAGTTTCTTCACAATGCTTGCCTTTTTCTTTTTTCCTTTCTGATAGATATTAAGTGAATGTATTTATTGCTATAACACTACATCAAATCCTTTGCTTCAGTTTGATGGATTTCAGAAGAATTCTATCCAAATGGTAAAACCAGCAAAGGGAACAACAACTTTGGCTTTTATTTTCAAGGAGGGTGTTATGGTTGCTGCAGATTCCCGAGCTAGCATGGGAGGCTATATATGTATGCACTTCTTCTTCTAACTTAATAGTTTTCTTTCCAAACAGCAAAGAAAAATTGGCATAACTTGTTCCCCAAGTTTTTAGACATATAGGAGAAATTAAACACAAAATAGCATACTTATTTAGATGGAACCCATAATAATTGATGTAGTAAAAGTGGAAATATCCCCAAACCCAGGTTTTTTTTGTATGTTTTCTCATGATTTTATATATAGACAAAGAGCATGTTTTAACCTTTTTTTATGAAATAATCAAAAACCTTTTTTTATTTATGGCGTTGGTTTTGATTGGAGCATTTCTCCTCCTGGATTGTTTTTATACCAATGGAATTATATGTTGTGCTATAAAATTACTTTTTATCTTCAATAACTTATTATTTTTCAAAAAAATTGAAACCTTCTACTAACTTATTATTTTTAATTTTATTAGAAGTAAGTGAAAATATCATTTGTTAAAATTTTATTGGAGACATCATGCTGTTTTTATTCATTTAAAATTTTATCTTTACTTGATCAATGATTAATTATGACTCGTGATTTGAAAGAGCATTAACTAGTCTAATATGCTCTTTTAATTTTAATTTTTTTTTTCAGCATCTCAATCTGTGAAAAAAATCATTGAAATTAATCCGTATATGCTGGGTACAATGGCTGGAGGAGCTGCAGATTGTCAGTTTTGGCACAGAAATTTAGGCATTAAGGCATCCTACTTTCATTTCTCCATATTAAAATCACCTTTTTTACTTATCAATGCATTGTTGTACTTTGAATTATTCTAAGCAATATTTGAATTTTTTATTATTTAAATTTCAGTGTCGTTTGCATGAATTGGCAAACAAGAGAAGGATTTCAGTGACGGGCGCTTCAAAGATGCTTGCCAACATTCTCTATTCTTACCGTGGGATGGGTTTGTCTGTTGGGACAATGATTGCAGGATGGGATGAAAAGGTCTCTCTCTCTCTCTATATATATATATATATATATATATATATATATATATATATGTATGATGAAAATATTAAAAACGAGGGCCGAGGGGTAAAATAGTCATTTTACATTTATGTTACGTTTTTTTGTAGGGTCCTGGTCTGTATTATGTAGACAGCGAAGGCGGACGCCTCAAGGGAACAAAATTCTCCGTTGGGTCTGGTTCACCGTATGCTTACGGTGTACTTGATAGCGGGTGAGTACTCCCCCTCACCACCACCCAAATATAAAAAAAAAAAAAAAAAAAAAATTAATTGCATTCCTTTTGTGAAATTTAGGTATCGCTATGATATGTCAATTGAGGAAGCTGCTGAGCTGGCGAGAAGATCCATTTATCATGCTACCTTCCGTGATGGAGCTAGTGGCGGTGTTGCCAGCGGTACTCTCTCTCTCTCTCTCTAGATTTTTACTTCTTATTTCATTTGGGTTTTATATTTATATGGATGATTTGAAAAATATTGGTGTTATTGTTGGTAGTGTATCATGTGGGGCCGACTGGATGGACAAAGTTATCGGGTGATGATGTTGGGGAGCTTCACTACTCTTACTATCCGGTTGAACCTGCAATTGTTGAACAGGAAATGACTGAAGCTGTAGCTGCTTGAGTTGGTATTTTGTTACTAAAAAAATGTTAAGTTGAATGTATTTTCTTATGATTTCACAAGTTTAAGATGACATTTAAGTGTTCTTTTTTCTTGTTTACTAGATTTCAGACTTTTACTTGTTTCTTTATCTCAAATATTATGATCTCCATATTGGTCTCTGTATTTGCATTAAAATTATGAATTTTTAGCATAGGGTGTGGATGCCAACTGCGAAATGGAAAAATTCATATGCGAAAAAAATAAATTTTCGACCATTTTGCATCGGTTGTGAAATGGTCATTAAACATTACAATTAAGTTTAAACGAGGCAGTAAAATACTATGAGATGAATCCATTTTAGTTATTAAAATAAAATGAAATAAAATTTATACACGTGTTAATATAAATATTACTTTTCCAACTAAATGTCGGGGTGCTATTGTTTGTATAAATGTTTTACGTTTGAATTTTTTAACGAGTTGAGCAAAATATACAAAACAATTAACTCAATAAATATTACAAACATAGATCCCAATAAAATAGAAGTCACTAAAGGGTTTTTAGCCTAATGGTATTTAGTGTTGCCTTTCTTTTTTGAGGTTGAGGGTTTAAGTCTCGTATTTAACATAGGTGAATTTAAAGACTAGTTTATGAGTATGTTAGATTTACCGTTTCAAAAAAAAAAGTCATCCAAAATGAAAAGCCATAGCTGTGCTTGTTATACATGTGGAAGGTAGAAGCATTCTCGGCGGTCCTCTTATAATTAATGAGGTATACGTGTGGGCTAAACAGACGAAAAACAACTTCTTATTTTCAAAGTTGATTTTGATAAAGCTTTTGACTCTCTCAATTGAGGTTATTTGGATTCTATTTTAGAGCAAATGAACTTTGAAAGTAGATGGAGGAGTTGGATTAAAGGGTGCCTTTCATTCGGTAGAGCTTCGATATTGGTAAATGGTTCTCCAACGAAAGAATTCCCAATTAAGAGAAGTGTGAGACAAGGAGATCCTCTCCCTCTTTTTCTCTTTATAATTGCTATGGAGGGGCTTAGTATATCTTTAAAGGAGGCTTGTAACCATCATATTTTTCAGGGCATTTCTTTATCTCAAAACGGGCCTTATTTATCTCATCTTATGTATGTAGATGACGTCACTTTTGTAGGTGAGTGGTCCGAAATCAACTTTATTAATTTAAATAGAATCCTTAGATGTTTCTATCTAGCCTCGGGGTTGAAAGTTAATCTTCAAAAGAGCAAGGTTTTTGGTATCGATGTTGATGATATTGACATTGGTCGGCTTGCTAGCATTTTGCATTGTGAGCCCGCAACTTTCCCGTTTACGTGTATCTCGGTCTTCCTATTGGGGCTAACATGAAACTTTCTAGGAATTAGAATAGGAATTGGAACCCGATTGTGGAGAAGTTCAAGGGTAAGTTGTCTCTCTGGAAAGCGAGAAATCTCTCTTTGGTGGAAGGCTCACACTTGTGAGATCTGTGTTAGGAAGTCTTCCTCTTTATTATTTCTTCCTTTTTAAAGCTCCGAAGAAGATCATTGAAATTTTAGAGTGTATTAAAAGAAAGTTTCTATGGGGTGGTACTGATAATAAGAGAAAAATTCATTGGGTTGCTTGAGATGTGGTGACAAAACCCAAAAACAAAGGTGGTCTTGGTGTGGGAAGCCTTCATTCTCTGAACATCACTCTCCTTGCTAAATGGTGGTGGAGGTTAAAAGTTGAGAATAATGCCTTATGGGCCTCTTGTATTAAAGCCTTGCATAAAGTTAAATGCATTGATGGGGAACCTTTTGCTAGATGTGGCATCTCAGGCACTTGGCTCTCGATCTATAAAATAAATGAGGAACTTGGAGAATGGGATTTATCTCTTGAAGACCTTTTCTATAAGAAATTAGGGGCTGAAATTCTCACCTGCTTCCGGAAAGACAGGTGGTGCGGAAATCAAAGGCTTAAAGAATCCTTTCCGAACTTATACAAGCTTGAAGCTAATAAAAATTGCTTGGTTTCGGAAAGGATTTCCGACAGTGGCAGATCCTTTAGGAGGCCAGGAGGGGCCATAGCCTCCCCGTTTTTTTAGCCTACTAACATAAATAATAAATTAATTAACTTATATTTAAGGATAATATTACTCTTGGCCTCCTGGGTTTTCCGAAATCGTTAACAAACATATGTAAATAAATCAAATAGACGGAATGAAAGATATTGCATCCATAACCCTCAAAAACTCATCCCTACAAAGTCGTCACTTCATATAAAATCTCGCCTTCTCCTCCGCTCTTCCATCTCACTCCACCACAACGCCGCTCGCCTTTGCAGATCACACACAATGATTGCTCGCTTGATGCCTCCCAGTCGCCATCTCCATCTCCCATTTGCTTCTTGTTCTTAATATCTCTTGTTCTGTATTTGTAGTTCGGAGTTATGAGGATGGCAGTAAGGTATTGTCTTTTGGGTTAAGCTTTATGGGCTAATGTCATAAAAACCCTCAAATTTTCAGGGTTTTGTCGGTTTTGCCCAAAGTTGAATTTTATGTCCGTTTTACCCTTACATTTTCTAAAAAATGATTGGTTTTACCCTTTTACCGGTGATAACAGGTTACCATTATATTAACTTCGCAAAAAAAAAACCATTAACTTCACAGTTTTTTACGTTTTTACCCTTAAGTTTATAATTTTTTTTACACTTTTACCCTATGTATTTTTTTTTTCATATTATACGTATTCAAGCAGAAAAATCATATTTATATACGAAAAAAATTTAATTAAATATTGTATTTACATTTTTTTAATGTTATTTCTTTATATATATATATATATATATATATATATATATATATATATATATATATATATATATATATATATATATATATATGTGTGTGTGTGTGTGTGTGTGAGTTTTTTTTGTTGGATAAACCATTTAAGATGTAAAAAAACAAATTAATATGTTTTTAGAACTACAAATACGTATTTTTATGTATTTAAAAATATATATCAATAAAAAAACCTGTTCATTCATAAACATGTTTATATAAGTATATACATATATTTTTAGAAGTGTAAATATGTATTTTGATATATGTTTTTTTTAAGTATAAATATATTTTTAGAAGTCTAGATACATATTAATATATAAAAATGTAAAAATATGTATTTATACTTCTAAAAACTATATCTATTAAACCCATATTCATAATTCTAAAAATATTATTTATCTTTTTAAATGGTATAACAATGCAAAAACACACACACACACAAATAAACAAATATATATATATATATATATATATATATATATATATATATATATATATATATATATATATATCTATATATATATAACATTAAAAAAAAAATACAATATTTGATTAAATATTTTTTCGTATATAAATACGATTTTTCTGCATGAATATGTATATTATGAAAAAAATATACTTAGGGTAAAAGTGTAAAAAAAATTATAAACTTAAGGGTAAAAACGCAAAAAAATTGTAAACTTAAGGGTTTTTTTGCGAATTTAATATAATGGTAACCTGGAAAACCTGTTATCAACCGGTAAAAGGGTAAAACCGAACATTTTTTCGAAAATATTTGGGTAAAAACGGACATAAATTTCAACTTTGGGCAAAACCGACAAAACCCTGAAAACTTGATGGTTTTTATGACATTAACCCAAGCTTTATTTGCTTTTTAGATTAGATATTCTCCTATTCAATTTTGATTTGAATATTTTATTTAATTATATTTGTGAGTATTGCTTTGTCGATTGTGCTCGAACCACCACCTGCCACGTTGCCTTGGTTAATTATTGATGACCCTTTTTCTATTTTAGAGTGTTTAGTGTTCTCAATTGAGGTTGAGCTTATGAGTCTAATTTAATTACTCTTTCCACAAGCTAAACTTTTATTAGGCATATAACGTTTTGTTTAATCGTAATGCAGTTGGATGTTTTTATATTTTCATTAGTATAATTATTACTTTTTAGTTGATTTTGATTACGATTTAAAATAATATAAACAAGATTTATGTATAAGTTTGCCATAGGAATTGCAAATGTAATTTACTTTTAAGTTGCTACTAATGTCACATATGTCTAAGATGAGGCTTGAACCCTCAACTACGAATAGGGAGGACAATAGTAATACTGTTGGAGTAGAAGCATTTTTGTAACAAATAAATATGTGCGAGAGGCACTATTCTACAAATTATGTTGTTATATTGAATTATTAATTATACAACATAATTTTTTTTAGTTAGCGCACGGTTTGAAAGTTTTTCACGCTATGTTTTTGTTTCGGCCCCCCCTATTGTTGTTGCTTGTGTTTCGCCCCTGATTTCCGATGTAAATGTTGCTGTTTTGCAAGGGGCAGTGGAGGAGACAACCGCTGAAAGCGGCGAGTTGGTTGTTTTGACTGAGGTTGTGCAAGAGGTTAAGCTTAGCGCGGACTCTGACTCTTGGCTTTTGAAGGCGGATCCTATAGTTTTTCAGTCTGGTCTTTGAGGAATCTAATGTCGAATAAAGGATGACAACCTTTTCTATAATTTTAAGTGGGTGAGTTGGGTTCCAATCAAAATTAATTGTTTTGTTTGGAGATTGATCTTGAATAGAGTTCCTATGGCTTGCAATTTGGTGAATAAAGGAGTGGGTTTAGCCTCTACTGTTTTCAACTGTGCAATAAGGAAGAGGAGAACGTTGACCATCTGTTTTTCAAATGTGACTTCTCTATTCACATTTGGAATTGGTTTTTAGTTTGGAGTGGTATTTTGCATTCGACTCCCCGTAACAGGTTAGAGTTCCTCGTTGCTTTGAATACTGCTACTTCTGGGAAGAACAAGAAGAAGCTCAGTTTGGCCTTATTGTACTCTTTGGTTTGGGTGATTTGGAAGACGCAGAACTCCTTGATTTTCAAGAAGTTGAGATGTTCTCCAATGAAGACGGCAGATGATTTCCAATTGATAGCATTTAATTAGATGAGACACAGATCACATTTTAATTTTATTAGTTGGTTCGATTGGTATATTTCTCCTTTTAAAGCGTGTAACTTGTAATGCTTGTACTTTGTTTTGTCTAGCTTCTTGCTAGCCTTTTTTTATTGCAACTTCCATACAAAAAAAATTGTTGTAAGCGTTAGCCTATATATTATTAGCCCACTTGTTTATGGGCTCTTTAGTCTTTAGCCTATTAGGGTTTTGTCTAGCTAGTAT